CATGCCACCATCCAGTTTAACCCAGTCAGTGAGCTCCAGGTTCAGTGAGACTGTCTCAAAAAATAAGGTTGGGGCTGGAAAGATGGCTGTGGTTAAAGGCACTGACTGCTCTTTCAGAGGACCTGGGTTTGGTTCCCAGTACCCCCATGGCAGCTAACATCTGTAACCCTAGTTCCAGGGGGATCCAATGCTCTCTTCTGGCCTCCACAAGCACTGCATGGACATGGTGCACTTATACACATGTAGGCATACCACATACAAGCATCTGTTCCTCCAGGAAAGTGCGAGATACAATCTTGCCTCTCCTGCAAGACCCGTTAAACCAGAACCTGCGTTTTAACACATCCAAATTCAGTTAACAACTGCCCTAGATCACAGTATCTCAAAACTAAGGTGTGGGTGTTCCACTTTAGAGACTTGTCAGTGGCTCACACTGACTAGTCAGAAAGCTTTCCTGGATGCCCCACCCCCAAGCTCACACACAATCCTATCTATAACTTTCCCATCTGGGATCTGGTGAGAGCCTTCAGTGCTTACTCTTTACCAGCCAGTAAGGGCTGGACTCTAGGTGGTGTCTGGGAAATGGCTGGGTCACAGTGACCAGCTGAGGGAGAGGCCTTCTCAAGAACAGGGTGGGAGGCCCAAGGACAACCTGAGCTGGGCAGGGAGGTGGCTTGGGAGCACTTGTTCTGCCAGGAGGGGCCCCCCACCCCCAGACCCAGCTGAGTCCTCTCCCTGTCACCCAGCCCCCGTGGGAATGGCTCAGGCCAGGAGCTACTACCCAACTTGCTTCTTTCTCCCAGGGCCCAGTGACTTCTTGACAGGTTACAGCCCCAAAGACAAACAGATTCTGCCAAACAAGTAACTGTTCAGTGGTAGGGGTGTCAAAGAGTGGGTCAGAATTGCCAGAAGACCCAGGTGACAGGGCCCTCCCCTGCAAAAAACAAACAGCTGCAGGCACCTGGAAGGAAGCTGGGTACAGGTGCCCTGTCATGGGTGAAGGGGCTGGCTGGGGGTCCCTGGATGTCTCCTAGGCTCCTCCTTCCTTCCTAGGAAGCCTTGCATCAGCCCTGAGCTACCCATTAAGTTATGGCCAGGAGGCCCTCTCCTCCAAATCCTATACCCTAGATCCCGTCTCACAGCATCATTTGAACAGGCACAGCTTAGCCCGGCAGGGGGAAGCCTGATGCAGGGTCTGTGGCTACCAGACTGGCTTGTCAGAACAGCAAAAAATGAGGCTGGGTTTCCAGCCTGCCCTACATAGAGCTGACTCAGGAAACACTCTTTCCTCAGGGTGTGTTCTCTACAACAGAGGGCGATGGCGTGAACCCTTTTTTGGGGGAAGAGGAGGCAAGGACAGGGTCTTACATAGCTGCCCTGGTGGTGAAGTCTCATTTGCCCCTGGCTTGTTTTCCTAAGAGGACAGCAGCTCACCACAATCTGTCTTTCCATGCTGGTCTTTGCTGCCCACCATGTGCAGGATACACAGGATGGGTCAAACAATGCCCCAATGGTCGATGAACATGCATGGTACCCTGATGATGGCACACTGGCCATTTGGAGGCCATTTCTTGACTTTTTCATCACTCGGCATGGGAAGAGCCAGTGTGTCTCAAGGCTGACTTGCTGTTTGTGTCTGGGCCTGCGATGTCCCTTTAGGAGTAGGGGCCTAGCTGGCTGACACACTTCACTAGGGGTGGGCTCTCGTGCTGTTTCTTGGTCCACCAGCATGTGAACACCCTCCATCTTCCACTCCCATGGCCAGAGATAGAGCATCTCTGAGATGCTGAAATTCCCTGAAATTCCCAGAAGCCATCAAAATAGATCTTCCCTCCTTGTCAGGTGCTGTCACAGCAATGCAACAGAGACCAACACACTTCCCAACTATGTGCCTCAGGGACTGTTCTCCAACAGCAGAAGGGAAAGACCCAGAGAGCAAAAGGTGTGTGCCACAGAGCCACGGTGGGTCCATACAAAAGGTGTGTGCCACAGAGCCACTGTGGGTCCATCCAAAGGTGTGTGTCACAGAGACACTGTGGGTTCATACAGGTCACAGGTGGCTTGAGGGCACAATAAAACTCACATACACATAGAAGTTTTGTGTGTTAATTTAATCATACAAATATTCATTTACACAGTAAGGAAAACCTCCTCATCTTCACCTCCTCCTAGGCACCATGAGGCCCCACCAGACACCCACCACTGTCCAGGTGGGAGGGGCAGCACCCCCACATTCACCCAAGGAAACAAGGGACAACGGGGTGGGGGCAGGGGAACAACACATTATTACTTGTACTTCTGAGCCCTGGCAACCCTACCATCCTCTCCTGCAGGGGGCTCAGGCCCATTTCCCACCTTGGCCATCAGCTGTCTTGATGAAAAATACTTTTGATAGGCTTAGGATTACACCCAGTCCTTACTGGGGGAACAAGAGGTTGTTTCTTATACAAAAAAGCCCCAAATTCAACTGTCCCCACAGTAAAAAGAACAAAGGCATGCACATGTGCACGTGCACCTCACTCCACACAGACTCCCCCAGCCTGCACACCATCCACCTCCCCAAATCGGCTCAGGCCCTAATCCCGAAGACTGGAGTCTGCCTCACCGCCTGGGTGTCAGAGCTGGTGGCTATGCCCAAAGGCAGACTGATCCACGAAGGGAGGGAACACAAGGCATTTCTGGAACCCATGAGGCGTGAGGCTGGAGAGCAGTGCCGACGCCTTCCTCTGCTAGGAGCCTGTCCAACGCTTGCACCTGCTTTGACTTCTGCAAGAAGCTAACTCTCAAAAGCTGTGCGAACACTGCTTGTTCTTGGGGAGGAAGCAGGGTGCCAGGGCCATCTGCTTTGCTACTGAGGTGGCCTACAAGTGGTGGGAGAGCAAGTGACTGGCAGGACCAGACTCAGCAACAGCGGCCCATGCAGCCCCTGCTGGAAACTGAGAAAGGGCACATAGTGGTGGGCGCAGTAGGTGGATAGGGAAGCCAGCCAGGTGGGGTGGAGCTTCCCATGATTCCTAGTGGGCAGCTGGCGATGCACTGCTTCAAGGTCAGCAAGCAGAATGGCTGAGCAAGGCTGTGCTCCAGGTGGCAGAGTCCTCGGAGACCAGCACCAATGGTGGCAGTAGCCTGGCCTGGAGGCCCTCAGACAAAATCCCTGGGTCTTGTGGCACAGACCCCTGGCAGGGACTGCCCTTGGCTCTGCTAGGGCCCAAGTGTGCAGAGGAAGTAGGGACTCCAGAGATGCCCCCAACACTGCTCCTCTCCATGGGCATCTCCACCTCCCCCGGGGCCTTCTCGGAAAAACAAAGCTGATTCCCTCTTGGTTTGCTTTTTGGGGAAGTAGAAAGGTGAAGGAGGGTGTTTCATACAAGCTTTTCTCCCACGATCAAGTGTTTAAACAGTCTCAGAAGAGGATAAGGAGGAATGAATACCACACGCTTTTCAGAACTCAGACACCCAGATGAAGACAGACAGGCAGGCAGACCCACACCACACCCAGGCTGGAGGACCCCTGCAACCACTCATGCCTTGGTCTCCCTGCTCTGCCCACAGCCCCGAGCACACGGGGGCTGTGACAGCAGACAGGGAACTCTGCATCCGTACAGGAGATCCACATCCCAGCTCTCAAGCCAGCTGACTCAGGGAAGGAGGGGCTGAGAAGGGAAGAGGGACTTTGCATATTCTTGTATCTTTGGCAGACAGCTGTTCTAGCCTGGTTCAAGGTTCCCGCAGAGACATCCACATTCCAACCCGTTTGGAGTCCAGGGGACACTAGTGGGTACCTGCCCAGGGAGCAAGAGCCACTGCTCCAGCTGGGCTACAATTCACCAGCCTCCACCCTGCACTACGAATTCTGCTGGGGGCGGTCCTTTCATTTCTCTCCAACTGTGGCCTTTCAAGTCAAAGGAGTCAGTGGTGGGGCTCCCATCTGGGGCTGCACCTTCATACCTCAATAACTCAGCCTCCACTAGCAGGCTGTGAGATCACCACAGAGGACAAGTCAGGGGGAAGACACAGGGAGGGGAGCTGTGTGACAAGAGAGAGAAGCAGGGAATGGGTTCTCACTTGATGAGCCCCCCCCATGTGTGTGCACGTGGCATACGCACCCACCTAGCAAGTGCGCATGCATCGTTCCCAGGGCAGGCTGAGGCCACTGCATGGAGGATCCAAGAGGGCCTATGTGTGGTGACATTCCTTGTGCCAAGAGAAACACAAAGGGAAGCAATCCCAGCAGTTACTAGCATGCGCGGGACACCTCTCAGCCTCAGAAACTCCCACATCACCTGAGATCTGTCCCCCAGGCTTCCTCTGCTGACCAGACAGGGAAGTTCGGTCTTTAGGGAGTCTGATGCTAAGAAGCCACAGGGTGGACAAATACAAATGTCAAAGGTGTAAATCAACAAGAGATTAAAGAGAAAAGAGGAGGAAGGGCGGTAACGCACTGGCAGATGCCATGAAAAACAAATGGGGTCAGACTCTGCAGTCATGTGGCACTGCAGTGTGTTCCCAGCAGCACTGACCTGCAGAGTCCCCAAACATGCCACGCTAACCTCAACCTGAACTGCTTCCAGAGCAAGCACTATCCTAGAGAGCACACTATCCCTTATTTAAAAAAATAAACATCGGGAAGAGGGGAGAAAATTAACGTGTGCTCAAAACTACAACCTCTCTGTAGGCAAAATAAATTTTGTTTAAAAAGATGGCTTATTTTCCCCCATTTTTAACTGCTCCTTCCCGAGTGAGCTAGTGACTCGTTAGAATGACGTAATCAGAATCCTTGGTGGCTGCGTGGATTCTTCGGTCGCCTCAGCACCACTCCTGTGATTCAGCATCCACACATGCACACTGAGAATACTCAAAACTAGTCTGTTCTGCTTCTTCCTCTTCCTCCAGGATGGGGGAGGGGGGGGCCAGAGCCAGGGGTCCATGTGACGTGGTCTGTGATCCAGAGGAACCCCTCGCCCTCCCCCCCGCCCCAAAGTCACGTCTTCTGTTTTTTGTTAATTTTTCTTCTTGCTGAAACCCGTTTAAGACTGGTCGAAGGGGTAAGGCCCGTGGAGCCCCTGGAAGAGAGTGAAGACAGTCAGTGATGGACAGACACATGGCAGTGCAGTGTGACAAGCAAACCTAGGATGAGAATCCACCATTCCCACCAGCAAGTCCCAGTCCCAGACAAGGCAGGAGGGTCATCGCCCTGAGCACACCGGACCTCAGCAGACCAAAGACCAGGATATGTCTGGTGGGCTGAGTTTCCTGCTGAATCCCACCGGCCTCAGAGGGGAGACAGGAGGCTCGTCGTGCAAAAGCAGTGTGGTTGGTGCCCATCTTGCTCCACCTGGGCTGCGAAGCTTCCTATGTCCTTGACAACGGATTCTCAGACCTGTCCATGGAGGGAGCGCAAACCTTTTTCTGCACCTGCCCCTCAGATGCTGACACTGGCAGGTACTTAAGGGAAGCAATGTGGCAAGACCAGTGAGATGTCTCAGCAGATAAAGGCACTTGCTGCCAAGTTGGGTGACCTGAGTTCGATTCCCGGAACCCACAGGGTGGAAGGAGAGAACTGACTCCCACAAGTCCTCTGACCTCCACCTGTACACTATGGCATTCACACAAAATAAATGTAAACAAACAAAAACATCCAATGTGGCAGAAACAGCAGATTCGTACCCGGTACCCAAGCACAAGTGCCAGCACCTGCCCATACCATTTTTTTTTAGGGGGGGGTCTTTTGGAGACAGGGTCTCCCTTAGCCCCAGCTGGCCTTGAACTCCTGAGTACTGGGATCAGAGGCATATGCCACCACACCCGGCTGTCCATACCATCTTTAATCCCCACTTCTGTCCTGAAAAGGACCCAAGTAGTGCCACATACATCTGAGGAGCACCATTTTCCTGCAGACTGAGGTCTTCAAGATTATGTGGCTGCTAAGAGGCAGAGCCAGGATTCAGAACTAAATCTGGGGAGTGCAGTATTGATCCCCTGCCCACTTGCCACATTGTGAGATTTAGTTCAAATTCATCAAAGTACTTAATACTTCTCCTCACTACCTGTTTAGCTTCTTTCAATGCAGAGTCTCACTATGTAGTCCAATCTGGACTGGCATTCTTTTCATTTATTTTTTGGTCTTTGAAACAGGATCTCCCTGTAGCCCCAGCTGGCCTGGAACTTACAGAGATCTGCCTGCCTCTGCCTCCCAAGTGCTGGGGGATTAAAGGTGTACAACCACCACACCTGGCTTGAATTTCTTTTAAAAAAAGATATTATTTTTATTATGTGTGTGTATATTTGTGAGTTTATGTGCCTCACCTTAGAGGCCAGAAGAGGGAGGGCATCAGATCCTGGAACTGGAGTTACAGGTGGCCATGAGCTGCCATGCAGGTGCTTGGAACTGAACCCAGATCCTTTGCAAAAGCAGTAAGCATTATTAACCAATGAGCCATCTCTCTAGCCCCTGGACTAGAGTTCATGATCTTCCTCCCCTGAGCCTCCCAAGTGCTGGGATTACAGGCCCAGTGTATACCACCAGATCAGACCCCAAAGGTACTTTCTATGCTACTTGGCTAAACGGAAAAGGCTTTTTGCCTTGCTTTTCCCTGTATTAAGATCGAGACTCCAGGCGGGCATGGTGGCGCATGCCTTTAGTCCCAGCACTTGGGAGGCAGAGGCAGGTAGATCTTTGTGAGTTCGAGGCCAGCCTGGTCTACATAGCGAGTTCCAGGCCAGCTAGGACTACAGGGAGACATTGTCTCAAAAAGACCAAAAAAAAAAAAAAGAGCAAAGAGCCTCCTTGGTTTGTCAGCTCGAGAAACCATCTGAGGACTGCACTGAATCATGACCTTACCTCTCCTTGGTAGGACCCATTCAAAGCAGACTTGAAAGGGCAAAGGTAACCAACCACTACCAGGGTCTTCCCTGTGGCCCAGAAGCAGTAGGCTTCTGTGGGGAACAGGTGACACTTGGCTATATCCATGGTGAGTGACCAGAGACCGCCCAGTGCCTGATAGCTATGCTAAAAATCCTGAACCTAGGCTCAACTCACAGTAGGGAGAAAGACAGGGAGGATATTGCCCATCAGTTTGATGGAATGTGGGAAAAGTCAGGAGTGCTTTAGACACACAGCACATTTGCACATTTTCTTTTGACAGACCTAGGAGGCTACAGGATGGCTGGACAACCACCTCTGTCTGCCATTCTAAAGCCAGGTCTCTACACAGTTGCTTAGCTGGAGGACACAAGCACTTGGGTTAACTATTGATTTGGTCATAAGCCTCGGGGCTCCAGGAGCAGCTGGGGCTGTGCTGGGGTGGTGGCAAGTAGAAGGCACACAACTCTCCAGTTGCCCAAGGGGGGTGGGGGGTGGTAGATGTGAAGAGTAGGGAAGAGAGTTGGGGCTGCTCTCCACTCTGCATCCTCACCAAGTCACCCCGTGTTTCCCTTACATACCCAACTCTTCCCTACATCCTCCCTGAGTCAAGTTTCTGAATGGACGCAAAGTATCGACTCAGGAGGCTAAAAACTAGTATTCTAAGGACAATACTGTTTAGTCTCATGCAATCAAAGGTCAAAGCTACCAAGGATGGAGAGCATGAGATTAAAGTGTTCGCAGTTTTTTTCAGTGGGAAATACTGGAGGTCATGGAGGTATGGTATATTTCTACCTGCTTGGTGGGGAAGAGGTGAGTTGGAAGGCCAATCTTGAAGGAACATCGGCTACATGCCAGGTGCCACAGCAGCTCCTAACATGTAACCCTTAAGCTTCACTGGGCTCCATGGTGACACGCACGACCTTCCAGCTCAGAGAGGTAAGGTAACCTAATCAAGAGCACAGCACCGGGGAGCTGAGGGGCTGGTGTTTAGAATGATGGGTTGCCACACATCCATGTCTCCAGCAGCCAAACAAAGGCACTAACCATTTTCGCAGCTGCAGCTCTCAGTGGCCCAGCCAAGCGTGGGGCCAGGGCTGCAAAGGGCTCTCAGATTCCATGCCGTGGGCTCTGACGGGAGGGTCACACACGTCAGAGTTAAGTAGTAAAGCAGCTTAAGGCAAGCTGCTCTGACTCAGCACTTCCTAGCAACATCCACTCATCTAGAATGACCCATAAGGGCAGCTTAGGTTCCCTTGAGATTGAGGACTCATATGCGCCCCAAGGGCTCCAAGCAGGAAAACTCAAAAAGCAAGCAGCACTGTCTTTAGAGTCTTTCCCCTTCACTCTAAACTTAACTGCTTTCCAGTGCAAAGCTCCACAGGTACCTGCAGCTTGTCTGGGAATGTGTGCCTGAGGGACTTGTTCTGACTCCCCATTTAGCAGACAAACTAAAACAAGATCCACGCAACCGGCAAGGTTAGGGATAAAGAGGCACATGCTCAGCCTTCTACTCGAGAGTCCTCGGACCATTCAGTGTGGTATTTAACTGGCTTAGCTTATGGCTACCCTGTCTATCAACTGAGGTTGGGTGCCCTCTGGAAAGTAAAAGCCAGACTTCCTCTGTTGTCCAAAAAATAGCATATTAGTGTGGCCAGTATGCTTAATTGGTATAGAAAGGTGGCTTGAGGAAGAAGGTATGTTCCTTCATCTAACTGACTACCATCATTTCAAGGAGGGACAGGGAGTCAGCTATTTCGAAACCACTGTGACCTAGACTTCCTGCGTGCAGAATTACATGTGTCACAAGTGGATCAAAGAACGCAGGCAACACTACACCTGCTGCAGAGGAAAAGGCTGGTGAAGATTCCAAGAACAGCTTGTCCAGCGGCTGGAGGCCAAGTGGGAGGTGCTTTTCCTAACTGTGGGATGAGAGACATTCAAAATGCAAGGTCCATCTACATTTCTGGTTCTGCTGTAGGTCTACAACCCAGTGGAACAGGTTCTGATGGCCAACATCAACTGCAGCCTAGAAGTAGGGGGTTGGCGATACAGATAATGTCCACTCTGTTCCAGGGCCTAGCAACTCAACTTTGTGTTTGTGCACATGGGTGTGCGGGTGCAGAGACGGCCTCTTACTGAACCTGGAGCTTGCCAATTTGTGCAGCATGCACTTTACCCTGAAGGCCACCTCCTCAGTCCCAACTTTTTATTTTTGGCGGGGGGGCGGGGGGAGATTGTTGTCTCCCTGCAGCCCCAGCTGACTTGGAACTTGCTACATAGATCAGACTTGCCTCCATCTCAGAGAGATCCACCTGCCTCTGCCACCTGAGCCCCAGGACTAAAAATGTGTGCCACCACTCCTGGCTCAGCCCCAACTTTTATCTGTAGAAAAGCAGATGCCAGACCTTGACTGAGGTTATCTTCTACAACAGCTGTGCCACTGTAATAAGGAAAACAGATCAAAGGCCAGACAGCTCAGAATTCAACTGTGATCCAAACAAAAATCAAGCATGGTGTGGCAGGCCGCCCTCCTCCTCAAGGGTCATGTCCTGTCACACAGGATTCGCAGGAATAATTTACCCATGACCACAGAGGGTGCACACCTTTCCTATGGATTTTGGGTCTAGGTCAGTTTATCCAGAGCTTACTCAGCTGTGTGGAGAAATGGGTTTTCAAATACTCTACTGCCTGGAGCAGCCCCACATCTGCCAGGGAATGAGGAACAGTTCAGGCCTGTAGTTGATGAGGTGCTTACTATCTTGCCTCAGTCTTTCTGAGCTTTGGAATCAAAGGTTATAAGCACTACTCAGTCAGTAGGTGAGCCCTAAGGGCAGACACTCCAGTCAGAGGACACCAAGCAAGCGCAGATGTCCATGTTCCGCCCACACAGACACACCTCCTTGCTCCCAGCAGGGGAAAACTTTATTCCACCTCAAGGCAGCTGAATGGTCATGATGCTGGGCAGGGTCCAGGATGCAATGCAGCTGCTGCAAGGCACAGGCGAGCTAGTCCTGTGAAATGTTATTTTTGGATACAAGTTCACCCAAACCCATCCTTTTCTTCTGAAAGAACAATTTTAGAAGTATGGTTAAGTGGCAGAGCTCAGCAAGTGTGATGCCTAGGGCTCAAGCCCAAACCACTAAAAGAGCTAGAACATCTGATTCAGTCCTCAGAGCAAAACTGTAACAACTGTCTCTG